AGAGGAAATGTGTTTATAGTCAGTAAAGAATGGTTAGTTTTTTTTAGGCGCACTTTATTGTTATCAGCATTGTTTCCATACAACTAATATTGTTTTCAGGTTGGACGAATCCATAAAGAAATGGGAGAGACAACCCGAGAAGGCTTATATGTTAGAAGAAAGTTTACTACCTGAATCGGAATCTGGTCAGGTGTCCGAAATGGAAAAACTCACAGATCTTAATAATGAAACTATTGATGTTACCGATGAAGAAGGAGGAATACTTTTAAGTTCTGAGAAATTTGAGAAAATTGATTGGGGCGATGTCATAAAAGAGATAGATGATGAGATTGGAGAGTCCGGTGATACGAGTGCTTTTGATGAAAGTGAAAATGAAAGCGGAACTGAAAGGTTTGAATGTGTCATTTCTTTGTCTTTGTGAGGAGTTTAGATGATTTATTTGGCTCTTGTATTTTCAGTAATGGACGTAAAAAGTTGAAACGAAATAATGAAGGACAAAAGGTGGTCAGCGAACGATATTCTAAACGAATGAAGCAATCATCACCATTACGACAGTCTATAATGTTTGATGATAACGACGAGGAGGATGATGATGATGAAGAGATCAACGTTAATTTCGACGCGGATGGTGAACCGAGCACCGTTTTTGAAAGATCTTCGGAGTTATCATCCGAAAGTTTTTACCAATACACAGATCCTCAAGAAGCCCAGGAAGATTTTCAATATGATAATGACGTCCAAGAAGATGGTGGGTATGATGATGACGATCCTGGTAACCAAAGCGACGATGAAGAAGACTCTGATGATGAAAAGTTTATTCATGATTTCGAAGAGTCATTAAAGCAGGATCGAATAGACGATGTTTTTAATAGTCATGAGAAGGACGATGAACATTTTGGTACGGTGGACTAAACTATGTATATACATCAATATTCACTGCAAGTCGATGATTCAGGTCGAACTTTTGTGTACATTCTAGCGTGTATTTTCTTTTTAAGTCACTCATTATCCAGTGTTTTTATAATCACTTTGTAAATATATTCTTTTATTCTTAATAAAACTGTAATTGGCGCATCAATTGCCACATCTTGTTTTTTAAAAAAGAAAATAAACCAATGAATTTTTTTGTTTATTAAAATACTAAGATATATAAGCAAGCCGAATAGATTTTGAAATCATCAATATTACCTATAAGCGATTTCTATCTATTCTTATCATCTGATTCATAACGATGCTTGGGACGCTCATGATCATATATACGTTTTGCATCATGACGCCGAGGTGAGTAATGATCTCTTCGGTGTGGAGAACGAGAACGTGAGCGTGACCTGGCCTTTATTCGCGGAGATCGTGAATTGTGTTTAATCCTTTTGCTAACCCTATCATAATGTCCATCTCGATAACGTTTTCGACCTCTATCCGATAGATCACTCAATTCCTCATCTAGAGAGGATTTGTTTAGAGATCCCGTATGTTTAATATTCTTGTCTCTACTATGATGTTTATCTTTTTTTTTATGTTTCTTTTTCTTTTCTTTCTTTTGCTTTTTCGACCGTAGTCGATCTTCAGATAAATTTGCAGATGATATCGCTTCAATGCCTTTAAAAGATTCATCTTCGCGAAGCGATGTCGACAGTGAGCCATCATTGTTCGTTAAAAATTCATCGCTTATCGTTTCGACTTCAGTCGGAATGATTTCTGCTAAAGAAACTCGACCAGAGCTTTTTGTTTTTAAAAGATTTTAACCAACTTATCCCTCAATTTGGAACATTAGAATACAACGAAATACCTTTTGTAACCTAAGCCCTTTGTGGCATCTTTAGTAACTTCCTTGAGAACCTCGTTATCCTCTTCATCATAATCTTGTTCTCTCTTCAACACATTACTAAGTTCTTGATGAGTGACATTTCCTGTAACCACCTTCTTTTTACCAGCTCCTCTAATTACGAAATGAACTATAAATATCATATATAAAAATTCAAGGCTACATTTATGCAAATTATATTATTTACAAGAATTCGGCCATTACATCGGCCTCTGCTTCTTTAATCGCTTTAATTTCGTCAAGGCGAGCCTGATTTTGCTTGCCTTCTTTGGAGTACCAAGTAAGGTCCTTACCTGAAATAAACAAAACCATCAAATAAATGAATAAATTCACATTCTGGATAATGCCAAATAATTTTTTACCCTGTTGCCATCTGAACGTTCATTAATAAAATAACGCATTAATTAATCGAGAAAACACTTGGAAAATCGCGGTGCAACATCCTTCAAACTGTTTAATACCTGCCCACAGGAGCAAAAAGCGAGTGACCGAGGTAATTTTCCCTATGTTTGTCTGTTTTCACGTCCCTATTAAGTAGCTCGTAAATAGGTTTCTGTAGAACAATAATTATAATTTCGAATGAAAACATACTCCCCTAAGAGATATATTAGAGAAAAGACAGGGTTACGTTACGAAAGGAATGCTCGAGGAATTACGTTAAATCGAAAAGAACAAGTGCCTACAATTAAACTGATCCTGTTTTATTTAAGAAATGTGCCAATAAGTATTTAGTATTATATACTTGGTAAGGAACTTTAGAAATTATACACACCCTTCCGCCTCTAACTCCGCCTCTGGGTGGATGATACATTATAGCTAATCTTTATTCTAAGAGAACATTTTAAAAAACATTGCAATATTTATTATTAACGAGACATCATGTGCCCATTTTTAACCAATTAGGTTGATTTACTTGTCAGCCATACATGTTTCGTATATTATGTATTACAAATCGATTCGTTTATTTGATAATAAAAGAAATTAAGTTCTGTACATAAAAGAAAAAAAATCCTGATACTTCATTTCTGAAAACCAAAAGGTATTCTTACTAACATTAATATCTCTGATTTATTGCAAATTACCACCATTGTTTGACGTTATCAAGATATGAATTATCTTCGG